CACCCCTCACCTCCTTTGCCCCCTCCTCTTGGCTCCTGACTCTTTCTGCAGCCTTTCTACTGCTACTCCTTGGCTCCTTCTTACTTTTGTCTTTTAGCCACACATCTGATCTTCTGGTAGGAAAGATCTACACTTAGCCTTCTCGGACAAGGCGAAAAATCTCGGAGGGCCAAGCTGCACCCGACGGCTCGAAAACCGACCTATAATTCTAGCTTTAATTTTTATTCCAATTCACATTATTATCCATGTTAAAATAATGATTGTAATATACCAATGACTTCCTGGTCAAGCGTTTCCACCCCAACTCGGAAGTTTAAGTTCAGTTTTGAATCGCGATTCAAAGAATATACGACTTTGTTTTATCGCAATGCCCAAATTATACCCCAGACACCAGTCTTAGTACTTTTATACAACAAAATGTAATAATAATTATTATAATAATTGCATTTATATAGTAATAATTGTATTTATATAGCGCATACCCATGCTCAAGAGCTTGCTCTATGCACTTTACAACTATTATTCCGCCAGCAGACTCTCTGAGAACATTCAGAAACATTCTCAGCTTCCGCGGAAGCATATAGTGCAAGCTGCGGATTTCACGCGCTCAAACACTATCAAACTGACAAGATCTTTCACTATCTATAGCTGGGTACCCGTTTTCACCTAGGTGAAGTGAGGAAAATTTGTGCAAAGTGCCTTTCCCAAGGACACAACGTCAAATGTATCATTATTTTGCTCACTAAAGAAATGTATGACTTTTCTTTAGAATATTGATACTATTGGACTCAAATTGCCAGTGACCTGTTATTGAGAAATCTATATTTTTCAGTGCTAGGTCTAGATCCAGATCTAAATTTTCGAAATAATTTTTTCTCCTCGAAATCGCTATTTTTTGGGTGAAATTACAAACAAAGTACCACTCAAGACATGTGTAGGTTTATTCCAAATGCAATTCTGAATAAGTCCATATACGATACGAGTGGGTTTTTTTCTGTTAGTAAATGCATCTTGTCCTTTCTGCAAGATTACACACACAAAAAAAATCAAAAATTTTAAATATCGGACGCATGATCCAAATGTACAAATTTTAAGGAATGTATGTAGATAACTGCAAATTTTGAATTTTTTCCTGTTCTATTTTCTTTTATGGTTATTTTGATGCATCATTTGACAAGGTGCAAACATATTTTTTGAGCTTCACTAAAGATTATTAGTTTTATATTTTAAAATTTTATCCGCATCCAAGCAAAATTGTCTTGCATAATCGCCTCTTACAGGAACCAAAGTTGGAAAATACACAAACAAAGATTACAGATGTATTTTGCAAATCACATTGAAAATTTGGGTATAAAATATGTTGATATTTATTTGAATTTGTGGCGCGGAAGACCTGTGAACTGCGCACTAGTAACCGTCTCATTTCGCCCTCCCGATAATAATACGTAGCGAATGAGTTAAAATAGCTTGCCTTGTATAAAATGTTTTTATCTTTGTAGAACGGGAGACTTTGTTTTGTTTTGTTTTGTTTTGTTTTGTTTTGATTATTTTTAGTTTATTAAAAGAGAAGCGCGGGCACCACTAATTGGTGTTCGGAAAAAAAGAAAGATACACTCACAGACCGACAGAAACCACAGGTTTTAACAAAAAATTCAGCTTGGTAGAGACCAAAAACAAAAGAAAACAAACATTTCTTCAATATCCAGGAAAAGAATACCTCATAGATCTACAAATAAATGCAATTACATCCAACAATAATTTGGACTCTTCATTTTAATTCAAAATTTCACAACAGCTAAGGTTAAAAAGCTAGTCATCAATACGTAAGGAGCTGAAGAAGCCCCCATTGCCTACTTCTGCCCTTTTACTTGGCTCCAGTGGACAGAAGAACAACCAGCCAGACTCTTATACTGGTGCCTGAAGAGACAGAGATGTAATAGCTCTCAGCTCTTTGTGAGTCTTCAACCTGCAAAG